CGCTTGTCAAAGGAGGGGGCTTTGTTGAAAACGACGCGTTTGAGAGAGGCGGGGCATAGAGGACCTACAATAATGTACAGTATTTGAAAAATAATGTGTTTTTTGAACATTAAAGCATGTCAACATATTCTGTTACACCAAATACACAAAATAATGATCTTTAAAAAAGCATCATATGACCCCTTTAAAGTATCTTAGAATACATTGTACACACTATGGTGCATAAATATGGCAATCATACAGTGTGATGGTATATATCAAAGCCTGATTGTCTTGTAAGTGATATACTGTATCTCAGGACTACAGGCTGAATTTTGGTCTTTCGGGCAACTGCACTGACTGCGCTTGGCACGGTGGAGTGGCCACCATACAGGAGAGTGAAGGAAACGAGGTTTGGGGAGTCGTGTGGAGGATAGACAACCAAAACCTGCCCAGTTTAGACAGGTGAGATCACCTGCTGTGATTGAGATGTCTCCCAAAATCACTCTTTCATTTGTATTAGTGATCCGGGGCCGTATTCACAAAACATTTTGTATTATATTTATGAGAGTTCTCCCATATAGCAGTAAAAGTTCTTAGGTTTTAAAGGGGTCATATGATGCAATTTAACTTTTTCCTTTCTCTTTGGAGTGTTACAAGCTCTTGGTGCATAAAGAAGATCTGTAAAGTTGCAAAGACTAAAGTCTCAAATCCAAAGAGATATTCTTTATAAAAGTTAAGTGTCAACCACGCCTACCTAAAACGGCTCGTTCTAACACGCCCCCACATACCTACGTCACTATCTGGGAAGATTTGCATAACGCCACCCAAATGTTCACGCAAAGAAAGAAGGCGTAACTTTTATTCTCGCTGTAGTATTGTTGTTGCTGCCGCCGCCATGTCGTGAAGGCGCTGTGCGTTTCGTTGTGAAAGCGAAACTACTTTGTTTGGCCTTCCAAAAGAGGACAATATCCGCTTCGTCATGCCTAGAGCTGATCTGTGCTGGTCGCTGAGGAAATACATCAACTTCGCGCTGTGGGTTATCCGGCCAATCACAACGCACTGGATAGCTGGCCAATCACAGCACACCTCGCTTTTCAGACCGATGAGCTTTGTAAAAATCGACGATTTTTTGTTTGGCCTTCCAAAAGAGGACGATATCTGCTTCGTCATGCCTGGAGCTGATCCATGCTGGTTGCTGAGGACATACAACAACTTTGCGTTGTGGATCGCCGGATCGGCTTTCACCATGGACAAAGCGGAGTCCAGCCCGGGGTCGTCACATGTGGTTGCTGCAAGCCCTCCGGACACTCCGTCGTCGAATCCGCCGGCCGCGCCGTTCTCGAGCCCACCTGCCTCTGTTCACTCAAGCCGGCCTCCGCATACTCTAGGCCGCGGCTCAATCTAGACCTCCGACCTCCGATCACTCAAGGCTGCGGTGTGTGACGCTGTTTCTTTGTGAAAGCGAAATTACTTTGTTTGGTCTTCCAAAAGAGTACACGACTAGAAATCAGTGGTTAAGTTGTATTTACAACACTGTTCCGGAACAGTTTAACCAAAATATTTAGATGTGTCCAGCGCATTTAATTAAAAATCGACGCGTTTCAGAAAGGCGGGGCATAGAGGAGAAACAAAACAAAGCTTCTGAGACCAACTTTTACTAAGGAATGGGGAGAAATTTTAATCTAAGAGAATTAATCTAAGACCTCATTGCTATGGATGATATCATCAAGCTTACTCACTATGCCCACAGTCATTGGCTGAGAGGGGATGGGTCTCTGTCAGTCATTTAATCATAGAACAAGGTAAATGTACATTCGACCTCAAATATGGCTTATCATTTAAAAATTAAAACATGTAAGTTGTAGCAACTTTACATGGCTGCTCATACTAACATTAACCAGTGCTGGGGTGTAGCTAGCTAGTAGCGACGCTACTAACGTAACTACATTTTTCAGTAGCTCAGCTACTTTCAAAACAATGTAGCTTTTCCAGTAGCTAACTACTTTTTCCAGCAAATAGCGGTGTAGCGCGACAATAGCTACATTCTGTTTTGTGAAGCTGCAATAGACTGAAGCGGCGCAGCATCTTCTTATAAGATTGCATACTAAAATAGTGCCTTACCGCCATCTATTGGTATATCACACATCTCGTGGCTTTACGTTTATTTTTATTCATTTATTATTATTATTTTAAAGCTGCAGTCTGAAAGTTTTACCTCTTTGTCGCCATCTCTGTTTGAAACCTGCAATTGCAGTTATTTGCAGAATTATCTTCTTTACGTGGGTTGTGCATCGGCACGGCATGAATCTAATGTTTTGAGATGTATGTTTGGGCTGTCAGTCAATGCACCAGTGTGGATATTCTCTGCACTTCGGAATTACAGATACTACGTCTTGGAAGTATGTCCAAAATAAGAAATTTCACCCTAAAATGTCATCTGAAAAAGTAGGTAACATGTCTGCCAGTTTAAAAAAAAACTGAAAAAAAAAAAAAGATTTTACAATAAATTGCGCTACCAATGCTGATTAAATCTAACGATCGCAAAGTTAGCTCAGATTACGTCAAACCGTGCAAATTATTATTATTGTTATACTTTGTTCTCAAACTGTTAATGTTATTAACATTGCGTGACTATGTGTATTTAGTGTGCATTAGCGTTATTTTTAGATTTCAATTTTTGTACAGTCCATTCGAATGTCATTGAAAGAAATTGTTGTTTTAACCTGTTAGCCTAAACCTAAGCAGTTTAATGTTCCTTAGAACTCGTTCTAAAATGACAAGTTTAATTGGTACAGCTGTTGTGAGAAAAGGCTATAAATGATCCGCCGCCTTTAGCATCCACACACGTGATATAGGCCCTGTCCCAAATCGCACCCTAAAACCTTGCAGTCTTCCTCTGAGTCTACACTTTTGTGACATAATGCCACTTTGACTGTCGGGTAAAAGTCTGCCATGGAGCTCACCTCAGTGCATAGTGGCCGCAAAGGGGGCGCTCGTGAGCACCCTTCCGAAAGATAAAATTACGAATAGGACACCCTACGGTCTTGTGGACTTAACAGACATGGACATGCGCACGCGACAGAGATTGTAAGACCGCAAGTACACATGAAGTGTGCAATTTGGGACAAAGCCATAGCCTACTAGCCGGGACTCCTTCTTTATGTATACAGACGTGATGTAATGACGCAAACACGAACGGTGGCAAGTTCCTATTTCCCGCGGAAACCTACCAGTACCACTTGATTAGAACACATTATTACAAGCTTACCGCTGTGAGTCAGGCTACAGTAAGGAGATAGTTTTGAAGACTGATTGGTTATGTACTTGCTCAAAAATTGATTTTGGATCATTTTTAACCAAAAAAGTTACAGACTGCAGCTTTAAATAACATTTTGCAAGTAACAACAGTTGTAATTCAATCCATAAAGTATTCTAACATTTGGCAATTAACATTAAGAACTTTGTGTGAGGGCTTTTTTTAAGGAGAGAGTCAGATGATTAATGTTAATGACGTAATGACGTTCAGGAGTGGATTGATATTTCAAGTTGTTCGACACACCCTTCTATCCATTATGGAACAAAAGATGGTGGCCATGCATGAATGAAACAGACATTACATGTGTTTAGCGCTCAGTAATGCACATTCATTCCTTTTTTGGCCATAAATAGCAAAAATAATAATTCTCTCTAAATAAATTGAAAGTAAACAGGGTAATCAATGTTTTTCTCCAGTGTATAGAAGTGTACAGGAGTTGCAGTGGATGCAAAAAAGTCTCATATTTCATATTAAAGATGGACTTCGTTTTTGATTTTACATACTTCCTGATAAAAATAAAGAAATTACTTTCAAAGATTTTTATCTTAACAGTAGCATATGGTGTACAGCTATACAGCCTGTATGTTAACAAGTAACCCTGCAGTTTTTTGAAAAACAATAGTTTTCTGTAAAATAAAATTAGTATTGTTATTATCTTATCATTAATTTTTTATCTATTTTTAATGTTTGTTTTTTTTTTGTTAATTTGAAAAATCACATTTTAAATCGCAAATTGCAATTTAAACCATAAAAATCGCAAGTACATTTTTTCCCCAAATTGTGCAGCCCTAAACCACACCTGTTAGTGCTTTGAGCGGTTGTTCAGAGTTCAATATTATTTCTTGCCATAATGCAGCCATCTGTCATACAGTATCTTTGAGAAAATGCTTCTGTGTGCTTATTTTGTTACTTACATTTTGTTATTGTAATGCTAAATTTGTTGCAATTTTGCACTTTGACTTTTCAGTCTGAGATATTTGAATATTGTGTGTAATAGAACAATAGTCTTTGACATCATAATTCTACTGCATTATTGTTTTAATACCAAATACTTTACTCAACACATTCCTCATTAACGCTTATTCAGTTATTTGTATTATACGTCATTGTGGGAAAAAAAGTATTTTCATTGTAGCTAGCAACTTTTTAGTAGTAACTTGTGGTGCTAACTACTTATTTCAGAAGAGTAGCTAAACTACTTATGAGTAGCTTGTAGCTTATTAAGCTAGTACAGTTTCAAAGTAGCTTCCACAACACTAACGTTAACCAGACAAAACAAACACTCTCTGGTTAAATCAGTATAAAAGGTGCATTTCTCTCTGAAGGCGCGTCCCCTGTACTGCAGCGATGGCACATCACTAGTGTTATCTGACTCAGAAAACACTAGTTTATTAATAAATAATTAAAACATCTCATTTGTGGCAAGCTTAATGCACTTGAGTGTGGAATAGGCTATAAAGGTTCATTATATTTTGCATCTTGCCCAACTTAAACATGAAAAGAAGGTCATAACTCTATTAAAGGGAAATGATTGTGAAATGTTTCTAAAATGTTTACATTCCAAAGCTGGATTGCAGACAACAGCCATTTTAGGATGGTTTGTGATTTGGTCTTAGGAGTCCTCTTGACTAGCCCTAACTTTTCACAGATCTAGCTGATTTTAGCGCTAAAACGCTTTGTGAAATAGCAAAAATGTAGGAGTCCTAAAAATAAAACTGACACTTCCAATATTTTTAAGAGTTTCTCCTAAATCGGCAAGTTAGGAGCTACTTTTAGCCTCAAGATGTTTTGTGAATGCAGCCACAGTATTGTATGGGATATTGCATTCTTTCTTTTCCCACTGTAAAACAAACATCTCAAATCAGTATTTCATGTACATTTATTTATTTGTATAAAGTAGCTTTGTAGTATACTTATTTACTGCATATTATCCTGTTACATGCACATAGTAGAAAAAATAACTTTAAAAATGACTAGTACTATGATAAAGCTATGACATAGGTTTTCATCATCAGCTTAGTCAGATTAGCACTCATAAGTACAAAAAAAAAAAATATATATATATATATATGGGCAGGTACTGGTTGTAGACAGTATATGGATCCTTATTGCACCCTGTAAATCTTTTATATCCCAAAATGTTCTACTCAAGAATAAAATATCTGCATTTAGGCATGTATTACAGATCTTGCATGTGATTCAGACAGGAACAGGTTCATGAAGGTGTGTACAGCCCAATAGATATCAAAGTAGAAATAAAGAAGGAGGTGCTTCTCTGCCGGACATACAAGATGAACAATTACAGACCATGTCCACCTTCACCACAGTACAGAAAGGTACTATTTACTGTCCATCATAAGCCTGTACAACCACAAATCGAACAGTCCACCCCATTGATAAAATATCAACAAGTGTTTTAAAGTTTAAATTTCAGATATTCTTAATATAGTTGTATTTTAACCTTATGATTATATAAGCTTTCATAAGACATCTGTGACTGTCTAGTTTCATAACTATCATGACAACTGTCAATAAAGAGTCTCTTCTTCATCTGAATGTTTATCTCGTCTCATTCTGCATCTAGGTTGTGTGTTTAGGGGCTCAACAGAACGGCTTGCCTCAAAACTACATACAGAAGCTTCTGACACTGGAGACAAACAACTACAGCGGCACTTCCATATTAGATCAGATTACAGACATCCAGAAATGACCTGTTTTTTTTTAATCTTATCAAGTCAATTAATCAATAATAAAAACCCGGCTTTTGGGTTGTTGGTTTGAAATCTATTGTAGTAAGAACTGAACAGAAGACACACTGATTGTCACAAACAGCTTGTAAAATTATTATGTAAAATGTGGTACCAGTACAAATGTCATTTCTGAAGAACAAACAAAAGGTTTTCTTGTTTGACTTCAAATCAAGGACTGGATCATTCAGTAAAGTTACACAAACACGTGTGTGTGATGATCACTATGGGTTTGTGTCTGTTGATTCTGCTGAATTTGATGTCAGTCTGAAGTGTCACTTTATTCACAATCAGCTGATCCAGAGAAGATCAGACTAACATCTAAAACCTGTAAGTGAAACACAGATAGTCAAATGTGTGTGACATTACTGCATTATCCACTTTAGAAGAACTCAAACAAACTTTGCTCTATTAAGATAATAATATAATCCTGTGATAAATAGTCAATAAAGCCATATTTAACCATCCAGGTTATGATGTCAAATCCAAAACACCATGGATGATGACCTTTAACCTTGAAAAAATTTGTAATATATTAACCATTATTCTCTGTTGTAATGGACAGATGTGGGGAAAAAATTATTGTTCTCTTGCTTTAAAATTTAAAAACAAACAAAAAAAAAAACATTAAAATGGTATTTCTTTGTGAATTTAACTATTCATGTCGTAGAGGCTCTATATTTAACACAAACACTGATACACAAGAAGAGCAGAAAATATTATTCAAAATATCATAATTTAAAATATCACAATATTCAAAATATCATTAATATACTCAAACATCAATCAAATAGCTATAAACAGAATAAAACTATTGTTTATAGTACGAGGAACATTCAGCTGTAAAAGAAAAATTACATTTTAATTACAATATATGAACATTTTTAGTCATCACTACTCACAGAAGCTTCTGCAGTCCATAACCATGTTTCTTATCAGAGAGCAGCTTCACATCTGAATCTCTTAGGTTATTTCCATTTAGATTCAGTTCTCTCAGGTGTGAGGGGTTTGATCTCAGAGCTGAAGCCAGAGCAGCACAACCTTCACCTGTGATTCCACAATTATTCAACCTGTGGAGAACAATGACACTCTTCAGTCTCTCAGTTCAGGATCCACAGCTCAGATCAGCAGAAACTTCACAATCAGAAAAGAGAGACTTAATCCACAGACTGATTAACAGATCCAATCTAAGGTTGAGACCCGCTTCTACATGGGTATTTGGGAGTTAATTTCAGTTTTACCACATCATAATCTATAAATCTTTTCATGTATCATCCAATCACATGTATACGATTCAGGGACGTGCAGAGAGTTCCTCGGGGCAGGGGCTCATGTGTAAAATAGGGGCAATAAAAACAAACAAAAAAACAATTATAGGTCAAAAGTTTGGATACATTACTATTTTATATTTTTACAAGTCACTTATGGTCATCAAGCCTGCATTTATTTTATCAAAATTTTAATATACTTTAAAATACATTTTATGCAATGTTGGAAACGTGATACTTTTTTTCAGGATTCTTTGAATAAAAAGTAAAAAAACAAAAGAACAGCATTTATTTAAAATATAACTTTTGTAACAATACACACTACAGCTCAAAAGCTTGAGTCAGTATTTTATTGTATTTTTTGAAAGAAATTAGTTTTTATTCAGCAAGGATTTGTTAAATTAATAGAAACAGTGATAGTAAAGATTTATATTGTTAGAAAACATCTCTATTTTGAACAAATGCTGTTCTTTTTAACTTTTTATTCATCAACGAAAATAAAAGTATCACAGGTTACAAAAAAAAAATAATTTAGGACCACAACTGTTTCAAACATTGATAATAAATCAGCATATTAGAATGAGTTCTGAAGGAGCATGCACTGAAGACTGGAGTAGGCTAATGATGCTGAAAATTCAGCTTTGCATCAGAAATAAATTATATTTTAAAGTATATTTAAAAAAATGTTTTTTAATTCTAATAATATTTCACAATATTTCTGTCACACTTACACTGTCGGAAGGACGAGAGAAACGTGGAGTACAATCAACAGTCTTTTAACCATCGAAACACAGGGGTAATCCAATATAGGAACGAGATGCTGACACATGTAAAGACAAAGTAGACCAGACGGGAGCTTAAATGCTAGGGATAATTAGAGAAACACAGGTGGATCACATTTGACAATCAGACTAAACGAGGACAGGAAAATGACCAAATAAGGACAAACAAGAACAGAAATGGGCAAAACACGATACAGACAGTCCAGAATCCTGACATGACGCCCCCTCCCTGAAGGCGCGTCCTCATGCCGTAGAAACTACATGGGGAGGGGCGGGTAGGAACTTGGGAGGCGGCTCAGGAGGAGGACGGACACCCGGGAGGGGGCCGGCAGACAGAGTCCATGGGGGTGACGAAGAAGGGAGGAGCCAGGGAGACGACAGGAGGGAGCTGGAATAGGAGGATCCAGGTGGGACCCAGCCATAATGACGGCCCACGGTGGAGCCGACGGAGGGAGGAGCCATGGAGGAGCAATGGCCGCCGACTCCAGGGGGCCGACCAATGGCGGCAGAGCAGGTGGTGGAGGAGCCCGAGGCGGAGATGGAGAGCCAACGAGCCTGGGGGATGCCGAGGATCCGGGGGGCCAGGCTGGAGCTGAAGGCTCAGGCGACCAAGGCGGAGGCAGAGATCCGCGGCGGAGCCAGAGCGACCGAGGACCAAGGTGGAGCTGGCGGGAGGAAGGAGCGGATTCTCCAGCCATGGCGACGCTGGAGGATGGCAGACCCACAGTGCTTGCACTGTATTGATGGTGGGCTGAGGGTGAGCAGAGGGGCTGCCAGATGACAGCAGTGGAGGAGGCAGGAGCGGGCGGGTATTCGTGAGCCTCCGGGCTCTCAGGGCTGCCCTTGGGGATCAGAGCCCACTCCTGGCTGGACTGGGAAACCGGAGCCCCCTCAGGGCTGGACGGGACCAGCAGGGACAATCAATAAGGTCCCCTTCTAAGTCCAGCAGTCCCAGATATATTATTAGCTCACCCTCACCCGCGGTGCAGTGGGCGGAGCTCCACTCCGCGCTCTCACCGTCCACGGCTTTCTCCCTTGTGATGGGCGTTGCAGCCGACTCACGCACCTGGGTCAAGTTCAAGCTCAAACCGGTGTGCACCATTTTGCTACGGTTTCCAAACTGCAGATCCAGATCACTCCACAAATAAGCTCGTCTGTCCCATGTCATTTTCAACCGATTTATGAATAAGAACGGAAAAGTACCACTCTACTTCACATTATTTGAAATTTGAACTTGTGCCAGATCATAATTGGTTGGTGTATTATACATGACAAACGGGCATTAATGAATTATGTAATATTCTCAAATATATAATAGGCTATATGGATTTTTAATTAAACCGACATATTGTTTGCACATGTTTATTTACATTAAAGGCAAAATAACTGAAATAATAAGAGCACATGTATAGATCTGGAACGTCTTTAAGTCTGTCTAAATATAATTTAGTAATTGCAATGTCTGGTCCATATCCTTTCCTTGGGAGATTTATAAAACGAGACAAACTGCAGATCCAGATCACTCCACAAATAAGCTCGTCTGTCCCATGTCATTTTCAACCGATTTATGAATAAGAACGGAAAAGTACCACTCTACTTCACATTATTTGAAATTTGAACTTGTGCCAGATCATAATTGGTTGGTGTATTATACATGACAAACGGGCATTAATGAATTATGTAATATTCTCAAATATATAATAGGCTATATGGATTTTTAATTAAACCGACACACTAGCTTTGATTATTGATGAAAAAAAGTTAAAAATATTGTTTGGTTAATTTTTTTCCTTCTGTCGACCCACTCACTGAAAGAACGTCTCGGGTCATCAGAACAGAGTGTTCAACGCACCACCGTTTCCGTTTAAAAAATGTTTTGCACTGTTTTGTCGGGGCAGAACGCAGGCCTGGTCTGACGGCTTGGGCTCTACTTCCGCGGCGATCCTCCACTCAGTCACTCGGCATTGCGCTGGCTCGTAGATCGCAGCGGGAATTGGCTCTCCGTCATTGGTGGGCTCGGGCTTTAGCTACGCACAGCGGGGAGATGGTGGGCTGGGCTCTGGGTCCGGAGTGGATCTGGGTCTGGAGCAGAATCCACTCCACAAACGCGGTGAAATCCACTTGAGGACCATCTTCGGACGACGGCGCTCTGCACGCGGTGTTTAAACTTGTGTCGTATAACGCACAGAGTGAGTCATCCGGGTAGCTGGTGGTGTTAGCTAGCAGCTGGAACAGTCTAGTATGGTCCTCGAGCGATCACTCCCCCTGCTCCAGCAGGAGGAGGAGGAACTCCGGGCGGACGAGGGGATCCATAAGGGCACACAACGAAAAAAAAAGACAGAGAAAAACGAGAAAACAAATGGAGAGAAAACACGGAGGTAACTGTGTAGGTCGGGTCTTCTGTCACACTTACATTGTCGGAGGGACGAGAGAAACGTGGAGTACAATCAACAGTCTTTTAATCATCAAAACACAGGGGTAATCCAATACAGGAACGAGATGCTGACACATGTAAAGACGAAGTAGACCCGACAGGGGAGAAATGCAAAGACTGGAGCTTAAATGCTAGGGATAATTGGAGAAACACAGGTGGATAACGAGATGCTGACACATGTAAAGACGAAGTAGACCCGACAGGGGAGAAATGCAAAGACTGGAGCTTAAATGCTAGGGATAATTGGAGAAAAACAGGTGGATCACATATGACAATCAGACTAAACGAGGACAGGAAAATGACCAAATAAGGACAAACAAGAACAGAAACAGGGGCAAAACACGATACAGACAGTCCAGAATCCTGACAATTACAGTTTTTTCTGTATTTTTGATCAAATAAATGCAGGCTTGATGAGCATAAGACACATTCATAATGCTGCATAATTATAAAAAATGGTAATATAATAAAGTCCTTTCACGTCACCATTTCGCCAGCCTGTACTTCACATAATAGGCCTGTAGGTGGCACTTGGGCTTCATTAACAATAATGATAGTTTCATGAAATAGTAAACGGTGTAGCCTATCATACATAAATATAAGTGAATTGAATACTGATTACCATTATTGCAACTTTTGGCACTGCACGGTTTTGTGCAGTCCTTTTGTAGTAATTTAGCATCCATTTTCTCAGCGATGTAATTTGATTTATAAAACGAGACAAACTGCAGATCCAGATCACTCCACAAATAAGCTCGTCTGTCCCATGTCATTTTCAACCGATTTATGAATAAGAACGAAAAATGACCGCTCTACTTCACATTATTGTCCAATGAAATTTGAACTTGTGCCAGATCATGATTGGTTGGTGTATTATACATGACAAACGGGCATTAATGAATTATGTAATATTCTCAAATATATAATAGGCTATATGGATTTTTAATTAAACCGACACACTAGCTTTGATTATTGATGAAAAAAAAGTTTAAAATATTGTTTAGTTTATTTTTTCCTTCCGGCGACCCATAGACACTCACTGAAAGAAGGTTTCCGAGCAGACTGTGGAATATCAGTCATTCATGCAAAACGCTCGCAACCATAGCAACGCCTCAA